GTCCTCTCTGAACCTCCAGCTTTGCCTCCGTGTCACAGAGTGGACCACCTCACTGTGGCTGAGAGGGAGCCACAGAGAAGTTCAGCAACACACCTCAGTTCTGTGGCTCCTTGTGCCCACTGAGGACCAGGCAGCGTCCTGGGGTGGATGCGAGGGGCACCCACGGCCGGTTCAAACCTGTGACAACCTGAGGGAACAAGGGAGCTGGGCAATGGGAGCATGGGGTCAGGGAGAAGCAGTGACACCTGAAGGTGACACCTGAGAAAGAAAGAGCCCGACTCAGGCCAGGGCTCGAGGAGCAGAGGTGAGTCTGGTCAGGATGCGGCTGGCTCCAGAGGGCAGTGTGGCAGTCCACAGGTGTGGACACAGCTCTCCTGCCAATACACAATGTGACTGCTCCCTAAGGGGGACTGTGGAAGAAAGCCCCTCTTTACTAAACTCTAACCTTTCATGTGCCCAAACAGCCCTGCAGTGGAGCCCCTAACCCAGCAAAAGCCAGAGGAGTGAACTCTTTCCCCTCCAGGGTCATCAGAGCACAGGAAGGCCACAAGGAGAGTGGACAGCAGGCGCCAGTGGAGTCCTGACATGGCCAGGGCCCATGGTAGTGAACTTTGTTCAACAGGACAGTGGCACAGGTGAGGGAGGACAGAGGCATTGTCAAATGATGACCAGGACTTATGTGAATTAAACCCCAATAACTGTTTAAAAAACTTAACTTGTGACTATTCATTGCAGTTTGTAGAAATACAATTGATTTCTGTCCTTTGATCTTGTATCTTGAATCTTACCAAACTCACTCACTAGTTTTAGCAGCTTTTTTGTAGATTACATTGGATTTTCTGCATGGATGATGACATCATCTGCAAACAACTGCAATTCTAGTTTTCCCTTTTGAAATAAAATGACAACCAGGACTTACCTGTGGGTGCACCTTACACACCCCTTGGGTCTCCGTGAAATACCTGTAAAAAGAGGGCTCTGCAAGGTGCTTGGTCTCCTGAATGAAGACGCTGGTCCTCAGAGCTAGCAAGATCCAGCTTACTGTCATCGCAGGCTGATGAAGTCAACCGTGGAGTCCCTCCCTACAGTCCCTCCCCTACAGGAGGATCGTAATTCATGACATCAGAACTGTACCCCATCTGATGCAGAACAGGATTTGGAGCCCACAAAACTGTGCTCCCTGTTGTCTTGAGTAGGCATTGAAATTTTGATGATGTACTACTGTTGGCCAAATATGCCCCCCCCCCAATATTCATATGTTAAAGGCCGATCCCCAGTGTGATGGTGTTTGAAGGTGGGGCTTATGGGAGGCGATCAGGCCATGAGGGGGAGCCCTCATGTATGGATTAGTATCCTTATAAAAGAGACCCTGGAGAGCTTCCTACCCCTCCCACCTTTCAAGGACACAGGTGTTGATGAACCAGGAAGCACGTCCTCACCAGACACCAACTCTGCTGGTGCCTTGATCTTGGACTTTGCAGCCTCCACTACTGTGGGAAATAAATTTCTATTGTTTATAAGCCACTCGGTCTCTGGTATGCCATTCAGGCTGCCTAGGAAGACTAAGCGAGACATCTATTTTATTCAAAGCAAGCATTTCAATAAAACTTACAAATGCACGTTTTTCAACCTGTAAAACCGACTCCAGATCCTAGTCTCTGAAACCGATCATTAGGAAAGTATGACATGCACAAAGATACAGATCAGTTGATTGACAGATGATGGAGAATGCCTCCGCAACACCGTTTATGCAGAAATAACTCAGGGATCATCTGAGTACTCAGCAAAACCATAAAACGCTATGCAGCCACCACGAATGACAGCCCTGTGCAGAGACGTCTTTGCGATGCGTTTGACTTGTATGTGAGTGGAATAAAGTACAGCACAGTACTAGAGCAGAATCTCGTGGTGGATTTTACACATACATACACATAGGAAAATGTCTGGAGAAAAATGATTTCAAAATATTTACCTGATTATCCCTAAGGGGTGGAATAAAGACTAATGGGCACGTTTCTCCTTGATTTTCCTTTCGGCTTCATCTGCCTTTTCTTGCAACAACAATACAAACAACTACCATTTATTAGGCAGGGCCTTCCCGCCAAGCACCGTATCAAGGTCTCTCTATACGTTTCCTCACCTCGTATTCAAAGCGGCTCCGGGACACAGACACTGTAGCTTCGTGGGCAGAATTCTGTCCGTGGAAAGGGGCAGAATACCCAACTCAAGCCAGTTTAAGCAAAGAAAGAGGATGAATTACCTTGTGCCGGTGGAAAATCATGACTGGCATCAGGAAGGGCTCAAAAGTGGTCCACCACAACTGGTTTCCCTTGGCTCTACTCCTCTGGAGCAGGGGAGCAGAAAAGGCTTCGCGCAGGGACGGACCCATCCTCACAGCCGCAAGGCTGTGGGGAAACAGGTGGTTCGCACAAGCCCTAAGGGCACGCCATTGGACTGGCTTGGGTCACGTGACCACCCACCAACCAATCGCTGGTCAGGTGATGGAGGCACCGATTGATTGGCTTAAGCCCAGGTCACGTGCCCCGACGCACGCAGCCCGGGAGTGACGTCTTGGTTCAGAGTGGGCGGGAATCGGTTCCTCTAAAGCAAAAACAAAAGCAGAGTAATGGATGCCCGCTGGGGATCAAGAAACAAACCAAACAACCGTCCACTGCAATTACCATCTCCAACTTGCTGATGAAGAAGCTGGAGTTCAGAGACAGGAAATAGACGGTTAGGAGTCATATAGATCGTAAGGGCGGAGGGGGGATTTGCACCCTCATTGTCTAGCTTGAAAGACCAGGAACTTAATTCACTGCGTGTTATTGCTTTCCGTGATTGCTTGTACGTTATTTCGATTAATTCAGAAACAAAATAAAATCATAAGCCCCTGACAGTGGTTTTAGGGTATTTGGCTGCATAAAATGCAGATAGGGTCAGAGCGTGCCTGAAACCCTGGGGCCAATGCGTCCTTCCGAGATGGTGACCATCCAGCTTTGTATCTTTTCATCGCAAGTGGCCCAGACCAGCCCTGACACCAGCAAATGGCAAGTGCAATTCAGAAAAAAAAGAGAAGATGCTCCGAACACAAGTTATAATAACAATATCTGATATTTATTGGTGGCTTATTATGCGACAGGCGTTGTACTCTTGAGTCCTCATGACGACCTGTGGAGGTGGAAACAGTGGCTATCTCCTGTTAAAAATGAGGGAACTGAGGGGTGCCTGGGTGGCACAGTCATTAAGCACCCCACTCTTTGTTTCCGCTCAGGTGGTGATCTCCCGTTGTGAAATCAAGTACAGCTTTGGGCTCCACGGTAAGTCCAAGTCTGCTTGAGATTCTCTCTCCCTCTCCCACTGCCCCTCCCACTTGCCTGTGCTCTCTAAATAATACATAAACAAATAGATAAATAAAACTTTTTTTTAAAACGGAGGGAACAGAAGCACAGAGAAGGAAAGTTCCCTCCTAAGGTCACACAGCCATCTCAGGTGGGGAGCCACGCTGAGGTTGAGTCTGACTCCAAAGCCAGCCCTTAATCACACGTTCTTATGCCTGTCATAGTTCCTCTGTGGCCAAGAGGGAATTTTAGTGGTACCTGCAGAAATCAGAACTGTAAAAGGCAAATGATCATTTAATCCCAAGTACTGAAGGAGCCAGGTAAGGTGGATGCTTGTGGCTAACAACCTCAGGGTATTACCCTGGGCATTTGCCAGGGAAAGACTGTGTAGTCAGGGCTGAGGCACAGTAAGCACACAGCCAAAAACTTGCTAAATATTCTTGTTGTCGTGACTTCACCCTTAATCTTGAGTTCAGAATTATTGTATATGGTAAAGAAGGTCATCACCAGTAAAAATAAATCCAACCTCTAAGTAGACATTTAGGTTTAAAAGGATGTTCAAGGAGCACCTGGGTGGCTCAGTGGGTTAAGCCCCTACCTTTGGTTCAGGTCATGATCTCAGGGTCCTGGGATCCAGGACTGCATCGGTCTCTCTGCTCAGCAGGGAGCCTGCTTCTTCCTCTCTCTCTGCCTGCTGCTCTGCCTACTTGTGATCTCTCCCTCTGTCAAATAAATAAATAAAATCTTTTTTAAAAAATAAAATAAAAGGATGCTCAAGGGGTTCCTGTGTGGCTCAGTCATTAAGCATCTGCCTTTGGCCCAGGTCATGATCTCGGGGTCCTGGGATCAAGGCCCACATCAGGCTCCCTGCTTGGCCAGGAAGCCTGCTTCTCCCTCTCTCTCTCCCCCGGCTTGTGTTCCCTCTCCTTCTGTCTCTCTCTGTCAAATAAATAATTTTTTTTAAAAAGATGTTCAATTAGGAGAATGTTCATGATACATTGTTAGTGATTTTTTAAAGCAAACTACAGTTTTATATATAAATATATATGCATATATATACACAACACATATATACATATAGCATGATCCAAATGTTATTTCTTAAAAAAAGATAATTCAAACATTTTTAAAAAGACCAAAGGAATAAACAAAAAGGTTAACTCTGGGTGCTAGTCCTAAGGATTAATTTTATTTTCTCATTTGTGCTTTTCTATATGTTCCAAATTTTCTATAATGAAGTAGATTATATCCATAATTTAGAAATTACTGCATTTTTATACAAAGGTTTCCAAGTATAAGAGACATTAGACTGCCATAACAACCTCAAGCTTTGCTTTTCTTTTAACTTTCTTTCTTCATTTATTTGTTCATTCAACAAATACCCACTGGTTTTGCTGTGGGCTCATGCTCAGAGTTGATCAGACAGATTCCCTTGAAGAGCTCCCAGTGCAGCAGGTGGACCTACAGATGGAAAGACAGACAGTCCCATGACATAATTGTGGTTCATCTCTGTATCCCAGTCTCAAGGTGGGGTCTGAAATAGAGTTAGGTGCTCCAGAAGTACTTGCTAATGAATGGGTGGAATCCGGAAGACATGAGTTCAAATCCTAGCTCACCTGAGTTCCTATTTCTGCTTCTGCAAAATGGGGGGATAATACCTACCTCATAGGGTTGTCTGAAAGCTCAGTTAGCATGTGAAAAGTCTTCCACACAATGCCAAGAAGTAGTACTAGGCCCTCAACAAAGAAAAGAAATAATTTATTTCAGATTGGGTAGATTATGATGGTGTACCAAGTCTGGAGTCAGGCAATTCCTCTGCAACTATTTGGAGCTTGCCTAGAAAGAATTTTGGTTTAAAATTTGGAGAAGAGGGGCACCTGGGGCTCAGTGGGTTAAAGCCTCTGCCTTTGGCTCAGGTCATGATCCCAGAGTCCTGGGATCGAGCCCCACATCAGGCTCTCTGCTCAGTAGGGAGCCTGCTTCCTCCTCTCTCTCCGCCTGCCTCTCTGCCTGGTTGTGATCTCGGTCTGTCAAATAAATAAGTAAAATCTTAAAAAAATAAAAAATAAAATTAAAATAAATTTTAATTAAAAAATTTAAAAATTTGGAGAAGAGTGTGCAGACTAGACTTCCACTTATCTAAGAAAAGAAGAGGTATTAAATTTTAAAATGGAAGGAAAAACCAAAAAGTTGAAGATGCAAAAGTTCTGGAAAGGTAGAGTAAAGAAACAGGGTAGACAGGGAGAGATAGAAGCTAGGCTGCTGATAATAGTCCATGTTTTGTAGACCTGACTTTGAAACCAGGCGAATATTTCACAGAATCATAAAACAATGCCAACTGTTTCGAAAAGAATTACAAATATCAAAAGCAAAGCAAACAAACAAAAAGCTAACTTATAGTAAGTTGTGATAAGCACACGCAGAGGAATTACTGCATGACTAAAGTCCAGTAATTTTGACTGCCCATCCCTAATAAGATAGTCCCTAAGGGCAAAGCAAAAATAAATAAACAAACTGCAAAAGAAAAAAAAAATCCGTAATTATATTGGTGGTGGTATTGGTATTCTTCTCGGAGAATGTTAAGAGAAAGCGGGACTCAGCAAGCAAGTCTATCTTTCATTGGGAACTGGAGAAAAGGACACCCAGCATGGGAGAAAGGATATACAGTTGTAAAATGCATGTGGTTAAGTAGAAACATTGTAGTCTTGAATTTGAATTAGAAGTATCAATATGAGAGGAGCCTGGGTGGCTCAGTTGGTTAAGCATCTGCTTTCTGCTCAGGTTATGATGCCTGGGTCCTGTGATCCCTGGGTCCTGGGATTGAGCCCCCGCATCAGACTCCCTGCTCTGCGGAGAGCCTGCTTCTCCCTTTCCCCCTGCTACCCCATACACTCACTCTCTTGCCAATAAATAAAATCTTTTTAAAAGAAGTATCAATATGACCACATGACATATTTTTAATTAAGTAATATTCTTTATTTTTTGAGCAGTTTTAGGTTTACAGGAAGTACAGAGTTCCCATATCCCCCTTCATCTCCCCTCTCTCCCCCAGTTTCCCCTTTTATTAACATCTTGCATTAGTGGGGCACACTTGTTACAATTGATGAGTCAGTACTGACACATTATTATTAACTAAAGTCCATAGTTTACATCGGGCTTCACTCTTTGGGTTGTACCTCCTTGGGTTTGCACAAATGCATCAAGGACATATGTCCGCCGCTGTAGCATGGTACAAAATCGTTTCAATGCCCTAAAAATCCTCTGTACTCTGCCTCTTCATCTCTTCCCTTTCCCACCCCCTGGCATCCACTGATCTTTTTACTGTCTTCACAGTTTTGCCTTTTCCAGAATGTCTTTTTGCTAGAATCATACAGCATTTGGCCTTTTCAGAGTGCCTTCTTTGACCTAGCAATATGAATTTAAGTTTTCCCTATGTCTTCTCATGGCTTGAGAGTCCATTTCTTTTTAGCGCCAAATACCATTCTGCTGTATGGTTGCATCACAGTTTGTCTATTTGCCAACTGAAGGGCATCTTGGTTGCTTTCATATTTTGACAATCATGACTCACAAAACATTCTATCTTTAAAAAAAATAAAATGTATTTCCTAGCTCTGGCCACTAAAAATGCCCAGAAACAATGACCAACCCATAGCAATGAGCATCACTTAAACCTCAAGTGTGGTCTCTAAATACCACCCCCTACTCAAAGACACCAGGGTTTCTCGGAGAAATAGCTGATTCCAGGCAGAAAATAGACAAAGTGAGTCTGGGGCATCTTGTTATTCCAAAAAGCAAGGAAGTTATCAAAGTCTTCTGGGGTCCGAAGGCCTCAGGAGCCAACTAAGAGGGTCTCTCTGGCCACAGGAGCTGATGTGAGCGTTAACAAGAATAATTGCAGAGGATTAAAAAAACAGCAAATAACATTAAATCTGTATGTTCATCATGATACCTTCAAAACTCAGTAACTCCAAAGATGGAGTACAGAGTGATATTCAGGGTATCATGTATCTCAAGTTAAAGATTGGTGAGAAGAAGTTCCTTTTTATAAGCATTCCAGCTAACAAAGGAAGAAGGAAGATAGAATTAGAAGGTTATCGTTTTGCCATCCCTAATGAAATAGTGAATCTAGGCAAAGACTATCAACACCTGGTGACATCATAAAGAGAGAGATCGCAGTCATTTATGGACCTCCTGACAGAAGGACACAACACCTCCCGTAAAGGATTATGGTCAAAATTTGAACCTGAGGGGTGCCTGGGTGGCTCAGTGGGTTAAGGCCTCTGCCTTCAGCTCAGGTCATGATCCCAGAGTCCTGTGATCAAGCCCCAAGTCGGGCTCTCTGCTAAGCGGGAAGCCTGCTTCCTCCTCTCTCTTTGCCTGACTCTCTGCCTCCTTGTGATCTCTGTCAAATAAATAAATAAAATCTTAAAAAAAAAATTTTGAACCTGAATCTGATCAAGCCCTTGGATCTAATTACAGGAAACACAGAGGACAGAGGAATACGTTGAAGGACTCCACATGGATACAAGCAGCACAACCCACACTGGGGGGATATTCCACAGGACAAACAGCCAGTCCCTTTAACAAATAGATGGCAAGGGGGGGGGGGGGGCCAGGGAGAGGGAAGGAGGGAGGGAGGCTACAGATTGAAAGGGACTTAAGAGACACCTATGGTCTTTTTTATGAGGGGTAAAAACATTTATGAGACAATTAAGGAAATGTAAACATTCACTAGGAATGTGAGATGATAATTTCTCTGGGTGTGATAATGGCATTATGGCTATAATCTTTTTTTTTAAAGATATCCTTATCATTTGGAAAGATATACCAAAATAGTTATGATTGAAATATTATAGGGGCGCCTGGGTGGCTCAGTGGGTTAAAGCCTCTGCCTTCAGCTCAGGTCATGATCCCAAGGGTCCTGGGATCCAGCCCCACATCGGACTCTCTGTTCAGTGGGAAGTCAGCTTCCTCCTCTCTCTCTGCCTGCCTCTCTGCCTACTTGTGATCTCTGTCTGTCAAATAAATAAATAAAATCTTAAAAAAAAAAAGAGGAATACTATAGTCTGAGATTTGTGAAGCAATGCATTGGCACATTATTCTCTTTACTTTTATATATGTTTGAAATTTTCCAGAAAAAAAAACTTTACCAAAAATACAAAATAAAAGTGCCTCTTAACAGAGGCAGAGGCACGATCTGTGTCGCTGATATTTTTGCGTGGTCACCTCTGTGAAAATGGGGACCAAGAGGCTACTTTCTTTGCAACACTCCTGCTTCCTTCTAAGTGCCTGTTGGTGAGTTGGTTCTAACCTGCCTACACAGAGGTGAGGAGGGGCCGTGGGCGATGCCTTCTCCCCACATCAGCGTGCACCCTGGGAATAAGGACCAGTCCCAAGGAAGAGGGAACCAAGCTGGGTTTGGGCTCCAGCACTGCAACCAACTTTGCATGAGCAAAGTAGGAACACTAGAAACCCAACCTTTCAGGGCAGGCTCCTCTCTGGGTCATGTGTTCCCAGCCAGGTATGAACCAGGTCAGGGGGATACAAGCAGGGTCATGTAATGATTAAGATTCTGGGCTCTGAAAGACACAGGTTCAAATCCCAGCTCCCCCAGCATGGGCCTTTGCCTGGTTGTGTGTCCATTTCCCCACCTGTAGATTGAGAACAGTATGAGCACCTGCCTCATAACGCTATCGTGGGGCTTCAGCATGGGAATGTGTGTGAGGCACTGAGCTCGGTGCCAAGCTGGCGTGGTACTCAGCGCACAGTGGCTATTGCTGCTGCTCTTCCTGTTGTTATTTTATATTAATTATTAGATAGCCAGAACATCAAGTAGGACCTTTCCCCGCAAATTGTTCCTTATATTCACTTCCTTACAGAGTATGTTGTATTATGGGGCACTTTCTCAATTATTTCATTTTGACCAATGCAACGCTGTTTGGGAAAGATGCATTATCCTGAAATGACCCCAATTCATGCTCATTTTGGATGTTAATCACAGTAACCTGACAAATGGGCTAAAGGAAATAAAGTAATTTTGCTTTAGAATTTCTCCTGGGAGTGTGGCCTTGGACACACAGGGCTGGATGTCGTTACAAACAAGCCTTTTACAGTCCAGTTTCTAATGCGTTACGGAAGCTGCATTAGTTACGAATCTCTGCCGACAAGAAGAGTAAGCATATAACCTCGTGGCATAACATTTGGCAAATAGGTATTTGTGGTGTGGGACAAGTACAACATTATACATGAACTTGTATGTCAAGCAACTTAGAAGTGGAGACAAGCGCTTTGGGACATGACGCGGGACATCTTGAAAAGGGAGTTAATCAAGACAAAGGACACAGATTCAAAACTGCAGGCAAAGCACAGGCAAAAATAAAATAAAGTAAAAACAAAAGCAAAAATAGACAAATTGGATTTGAAGATTAAAAACTTCTGTTCATATGGGGTGCCTGGGTGGCTCAGTCATTGGGCGTCTGTCTGCCTTTGACTCAGGTCGTGATCCCAGAATCCTGTGATCATCGAGCCTCACATCAGGGAGCCTGCTTCTCCCTTTCCAGCTCCCCCCTGCTCATGTTCCCTCTCTCACTGTCTCTCTCTGTCAAATAAATAATATCTTAAAAAAACACAACTTCTATTCATCAAAGGGCACAATCAACAGAGTGAAAAGGCAACCAAACTGCTTGGGAAAAAACATTTGCCAATCATATACCTGATAAGAGGTTAATATCCAGAA